TCAAGTTTTGTGCAAAAACGCATGATCGCTCCGGCTCGCCTGGTGCGTTCCAGCCTAGGTTTAAAAGTCTTTCTGGAATGGCAGCTAGGCGCATAACGATATTTTAGAATACACAAAGTGCTAGACACTGTTTTAGTTCTTCTAGACAAAATTTCAAATTTTCCCTGGTGAGAGTAGCAGACTTTTTTAAATTAAGGCGTTTTTGTTAAATCTCAAGAAACTTATTGGCTATCATAGCGCATGATGAGTAGCACTGTTATCGGGCTGAAGGTCGAGGACTGGCTCCGTTTGTGAGCCAGTTAGTCCCTCTGCGATTCGTTTCGATGGTAATTTGGCGCTTCCACTCGCAATGGAACCAAACCCACAATCAGCCTGCTCGTAAGCAACTCTCGAAATAGAAAGTTTTCAAAAGCTTTACCAACGTGTAACTGCTACTGGCACTTGCTACACACGGAATGTTCCCAGGCGTTTTCCCTCTGCGAACATGGAGGATTATTTTAACGTTGATTTAATAAAGACTAGTTAGTAAAAATTTTAATTTTGAACCCATACACCGATATATCTGTGATTGGTTTTTGTGATTTTCATAACGTTTAGAACTCGGTGAAGAGGAGGAAGAATCTGATGTGGTAAACGAATTAAATGATGCTCATAATACAACGATTAGTTCGCCCATAACGACACCACTTCTCGTCGTTACAGCAAATGCAATAACGCAGTCGCCGCTGTCATCATCCTCATCGTTGGCAGAAAGCAGAAATAGTGATGATAATGCTGGTAGTCACACTACTGATGAACGTAGTAATGCGAGTACAACATCAACAGCTACAACAACTGTTGCTTCCACAGATATTACAACTGTTACTCCTACAGAATCATCAACTGTACCTCCTGGTTAGTTGGATTTGTCCTCATTGTTTTGTGATTCTACTCAACGGGAAGGAGTGGAGACACTCAGAAGTAACCTCAGTGGTGGCACTTGCTAACAGTAAGTACTTGTTTGCAAATGTGCTGATAGCTTCTTATCAGTAAGTACTTACAGAACCAAACCCGTAAACTAGATTGCTTAGAAGCAAACTAGTTCGCGGGTTTGGTTCTGTTGGCATGTGCCAGTACCAATTTACCGTCGAATGAATCAATGGCTGCAGAGAGTTTTGGGTCCTATTGGCAAGATGGGATGTTTGACTTTTTGCGCAACTTCTGCCAGAGAAATCCCTTTTGCGAATGACTGTGGACCCGAAAGGGATTGAACCGCTCCTCTTTTCTTCCATACGCGACGTGCTGTCCACTACACCACCGTCTTTTGCTTCACACAGCAACTGGAGCACTTATTTCCGATTTATATGTATGCCAATCTCAGACCATTTTGCTGTGCGCCGTTCAAGCTGATCTTATGCAGCAAATCGCAAATTTTTAGTTTTTCGCGGATCATCCGCGACAGTTTCTCACTGCAAAAAAAATGCAATGAAAAAATTTTATTCTTAATAAATTGTAGTAGATTCGTTAAAAATAACGGTGCAAATACGTCAAACAAACAGCGGGTAATTTTGACT